TAATCAAAGATTAGATGTTCATATTCCCTAACTTATGAAGAATGTTGGATATTGTTGGTAATTGTTACAAGAACTTAATGCCATTTAGTGATTTGATGCAAAAGCTTATTTGAATTGAATCAACCAAATGAAGTTTTGTTTGAAGATCATATTTTGAATAAAAAAATTTTGTTAACTTAGATATTAAAGCTTATTAATATCTTGATTACCAACCTAGATTGAACATGAATCATAGTCATATTACGTCTTATAACATTGTACATAAATGCGAATCAGAATCGGAAATGTCTTTAAATTCTTGAATTTTAGTTTTCAAACTATCTAGTTTACAATTTGTTATGAAATTTAATTTCACCAACAAAACCCCTTCTTTTTAATAATTGGTATTGATGTGTCACGTGAAAATTGGTTAAACGGTAGGTCTCGTATCTCTGTGGACCGACTCTGCTTATTCTATAATATCTTTAGTGTATTGTAGCAGTGAAATTGAACTCAATTGTTATTATTTATCCCTTTATTTGTTGGTTTGACACACCAAAAAACTACAGTACAAAACAGTGAGAAAACTCAGCTCACAGATAAAAGTAGATATCCCTATAATTCGTCACATGAAATAAACCGGTTCAACACCAACCTAAAAATTAAATTTAGGTAAATCCTCAATCTAAGACCTAAACCCTAAAGTTTGGCCCTAAGTCAAACTTAGTCAAAAAGTCAATGGTCAAAGTCCAAAAACAGAGTCGCCATTTTGTGGCCAACACTATGGCCATGCTGTGGTGGCTAAATTCCAAAATGGTTGTGAAAACCCTTGCCACCATGTCGTGGTAGCAACATTGCTACGTTGTGGTAACGTCTTGACCTACTTAACTTATTAAGCTCCTAACCCTTATTTCCATAACTCCAAAGCTCATATCTAGATTGATTAAGGTCATGCATGGATATAGTTTCCAACTTTATCCCCTTTTTATCCTCTAAAATCCTAGATCTTAAACACTAACACAAAAAGGGACCAAATAACCCAAGAGATCCATGCATGGTTTATTCTTGGTTAGGATGCAAACTTTATGGGACCATAAGGTCCAAAAACGAACATAAATCTTATCCAAGGTCCTGGAGTTGCTTCAAACTCCAATGATTCATTCCTAATATCCAAAAAGGGACTCATACACAACATAAGAAACTCATAAGATGGAAATTTTTGAAATTTATACCTTCTAGAATCTAAGGATGATTGTAGAATCAATGCTCAACAGCAAAAAATCCCAACACTAACTTGAACCACCTCCTCCTTCCTTCTTACTCCTTGAAAAATCCAATAATGCACACTTAAACACCAAGAACACACACAGACACTATATGTTTTCTCTCAAAGGAATGGAGGATGGAGTTAAGAGCAAACCCTACCCATAATGTTCCTTAAATAGGGCTCAAGGCCCGAAAATTAGGGTTTGCACCCAGCCACCACCATTTCATATCCAATACATGACCATGTTGTAGTGATTAAAAAATATGCATTCCTTTTAGGGGCACAACTACGTCGTGGTGAGCTCCATCATCATGTCATGGTCGGCCAAGATTCTTTAAAACTTCCAAAATTTTAAATGTTGGGTCTCGAGAGCAATACCTAAAAATAGAGGTTACACTTTCCCTTATCAAAATGGTTTTTAATATATATGTATTAGTATGCGTGGAATCAAATCAATTGGTCTTTTGAAGCATTTCCTTCACTTTGGAATCTAGGTTCTTACTGATCTTTAAAACTGATTTTTTTATTATAAAATTTAGATGTTTGATATTTAAACCAAAGAAATAAACCATGGGGGATCATTTTTTACATTCTTTGAAATGTTATAACCCCTATTTTTGTCCTTGGACTCATTGATACGTTTTGGAGTTTTATTGAAAGTTTGATGGCTTAATGAGAAACAAAACAAATTATGCAATTTGTTCGGTGGTCATGATGCGACCGAGGGGAGGTTGTGGCATGTTCTTGGTCCACTCCATTTTTTATCTTCATGATTTTAGTGATCCTTGAGTATAGTTAATTAATTTGGTCTCATTTGGCTTCCATGATCCACAATAAGACATTTAAGGATCATATGATATTTTAGTGATCCTTGAGTATAGTTCATTCCTTTGGTCTCATTTGGCTTCCATGATCTACAATAAGACATTTTAGGAGCATGTGAGCTTAGAATGATAATTTGAAACATAAAAGGGTATTTTAGTCATTTGAGACCTTATGATGATATTTGCTTATTGATTTGAGAAATTTGAAGCTTGAAGAGATGTAGTTCAAGTGTAGAAGATCTTTGGTGTTGCTAGCACTGGACTACAGTGTGTACTTTTACCTTGGAACGCTTCTCCCCATAGTATGAGTATGTTACTTGTGTTCTCTCTTTTGTGTTATATTATAAGAATGTATATTACTTAGAAACAATATGTATAACATATTCTTCCTTTGCTTCATATTATAGTTTATTATTCGGGGACGTCCTTTTTGAACTAAGGACATGCTTTTTTAAACGAGTTTTATTTTAGGGGGTTTTAACTTATTAATTTGGTATTAAGATTACACTTACCCTTCTGATTTTTATTGGGAGATATCGGGAGCATACCATCTTATTATCGATTTTTTGTTTTTAAAATATCTAACATATATTTGATTAATACTTACTCGTATGTGGAGGGCATTCATGAAATTATATTTCTAAATGCTTTTGGTTTATATAAAGCTAAAAATACTTATTTTGACAAAAAAAAAGAGTATTTGGCATCCTACTTGTTGCATAAATGCATACAAGGATAGGAGACTTGTATGGTTATGTCCTCGGGATCCCATTTTTGAATTATTAGTTGTTGTGAGTAGATTTCTAGATAATCTCCGGGTGCACGAGTAGAGGCTCGCTGCCCCTCTGCTTGAGGTGGTGGCTCCCTTGCCCTAGAATCAGATTACCATCAGAGTGTTCGGCTTGAGCCATCGGCTAGGGGTGATGATTCCCTATTCCATATTAGGATTACCATCGGAGTACCCTCTTGAGCCATCTGTGTGTTGGAATTTTGAGATTGACTTGGGTTGGGATAGTTGAATATATTGCATTAACTATTTGGATTGTTTCTTCCTAAAATATATTAGGATAGGAATAAGATTTTTGTATATTGATTTAAATCAGATTATCAAATTTTGATGTTTTGAAACTTATATGAGTATTTACTAATATATATGATCTTATTTGTGTTTTGATTATTGAAATTCCTAACTGGGGTACGACTACTTTGTATTTTATTATTACTTGTAAAGTTAATGTGCGATTTAATTTAAACAACAATGTACTTTGACTTATGTCATATTTTACCCCTAAGATTCTATTGGGATGGTACAGCTCGTCGTGAAGTAGATATCTATAAACATGAGAGTCGTTATAGTTTGATGTGCTCCTTCTATTTTGTTCAGCTTTTGCAGCATCACACAAGGTGATATGGTCCTTTATATACCGATCGATGATACAATACATAATCGGCGATTCAGCATCACTAAAGTGGCATGGTCTTTACTTTATATACCTAGATTTAGATGGCCTCTAATATTTTAGCATTAAAGTGTTATATGTTGGTTCTATATGCTCATGTATCATTATAAAATGACATTGTCAGTAATATATGATCCTATAAGGTCACACCAATAACAAGTAAACACCCATGAAAATTTATAAGAATTTGATTCTTGATAAATATTATCAATTTTTGTAAATTATCATGAAAAATTATTATTTTGTGAAAATAATAATATTAATATAGTAATATATGTATCTTAGCATAAATATCAAATGGTGTGATTTTAATGAGTGTACTTCTTTTATTATTTATAAAAGTTATATTTTATAAAATATTATATAAAGAGTGGCACCCACTTTGAGTGTTGGACATTCTCATTCTCCCTCTCTCCTCATCCTTAATCGAAAATCGTTTAGGGGTGGTCCAATGAGATTGTTTTTGTCCCTTAAACTCCACCATTGCATGCTAACAAGGTTCATCATTTGTTGTTTTTGTTTTCAAGGTGGGCGTAGTTAAAAGAAGGCATTTATTACTCATTGACTCTCTCTCTCTCTCTCTCTCTCTCTCTTGAATTCTTATGTACACACACACAGTTTTCTCTCTAAGTGGCTTAGGAAGAAAAGATACATACATCATCTCTTGAAGGTAAATTTTGGATCTTGTCTTCAAGCTTAAGACATTGTGGTTTTCTAATAGGGAACTAGCATTCCTTGGTATTGCGTTGTTGGTGGACTACTCTATAGGAAGCATCATTATCTTCTTTACATTATCTTCACCCATCTTCATGTTTATTTTTATTCAAATGCTATAAAGGATGTTTTTCTTTGAAACTCCATATGGATGATTTTATCTTTCATGTTCATGCAAATGGATCCTTGGTGGGTGTTAAATGGTTTTAATGTTGTTCAAATTTTATTTGCTTCCGTTGTTGTTCTCATGTTTTTTGAAATCCGGTTTTAAGAAAACCCAACATGATCATGCATTTCATACATAGCATCTTACATGAAGTGTGTCAATGTAAAATATTTTGATAAATGTAAACAAGTTTTAATTCACTAGTACATAACTCATTTAATAGTGCGATGCCATTTTATTTTTTGGTGCGGTCTTGTTTAAAAACCGCATTATTAAATACACATAGCATAAAAAAACAGAAACCGCATCAAATAATCGATTTGTTGGGGGCGGTTATGTAGAAACCGCATTAAATGATTTTACAAAGTTATTTTTTGGTGCTATATATGTAAGAGGGTGTTTGGCTTAGCTTTTGTGGGGCAAAAGTCATTTTTGTAAAAGGACTTTTTACAAAAGTTGTTTTTTAAAGAACAAATTACTGAAATAGTCCCTGTGGTTTGGCTAAAGTTGCGCGTTTGGTCCCTATGTTTTGTTTTGCACTCGGACCATCCCCACGTTTTCTTTTTATTACCCGCCTGGTCCCTGGGTCCGTTAGTCGTCAATTCCAAACGTTAAGTCCCTCACGTGCTTCGCACATGAGGGGTATTTTTGTCATTTTATATAAAAAATCTATTAGAACACCCCTAAACCCCGATTCTCTCTATTTTTCGAATACGCCCTTTCTTCTTCTCCTTCATTTCGTCTTCTTTGAAGTTTTGATCAACCCTAATGGAAAAAACCTGCAAGTGTGGTGAAGTTGGTGTGATACGAAGATCGACTACCAAGAAAAACCCTGGAAGACTTTTCTATTGTTGTACTGGAAAGGTAAGGACAATTTCTTCTTAAGTATATCTATATATCACATACCTTTAACACACACCAAATTACTCAAAATGCAGGGAGCAAAATGTGGTTTCATAGATTGGGTTGATGAGGACAACTTTAATGGTGAAAAAACTGAAAAAAGTATCTCCCCTGATTTGCAGAAGTCATTGGATGAGCTTCAACATGAGAATAGGGCCTTGAGGCTGTTATTAGTGTTCAGTTGGGTTTTTTTTGTGTCAATTTTAATTTACAAGCTTTAATTTATGCTATTAATGTACTTATCTTTTGTTTCATCAAGGCAGTTTTCTAATGGGATGGAATTTAGTGGTTTGTAATGGAATGGAATTGAATTGACTGTTTTATAATGGAATGGAATTGAGTGGTTTGTAATGGAATGGAATTGAGTGGTTTGTAATGGAATGCAATTGACTGTTTTATAATGGAATGGAATTGAGTGGTTTGTAATGGAATGCAATTAACTGGTTTTCTATTGGAATGGAATTGAATTGAATGATTGAATAGAATTGAATGGTATTGAATTAGAATGGAATGAATTGAATAATTGAATAGAATTGGATAAAATGGAATTGAATTAAAACAAAAACACAGCAACAGATTATAGCACTAATTGTTCATACCATAATTGAAAATAGAGATACATTAAAAGTCATACCATATATAGACAACAGGTCCCAAAAGTCATACCATAATTGTTCATAACACAGACACAAAACATAATGACAAATATAACAAACACAAAAGATCATAACACCATAATTGGTTCATAACACAGACACAAAATATAAAAACACAATCATAACTTAAGCAATACTCTTCCCTTTCTTCCCAGCCTTCCTTGTCCTGCTTGAAATTCCATCACATGCACTTTGAGTTCCACTTTGCCTACCACCACCTACACTTTGAGCTTTCTTCCCAACATTCCCTTTCTTGCTTGAACTACCATCACCTGTACTTTGACCTTTCTTCCCATCCTTCCCTTTCTTGATTGAACTACCATCACCTACACTTTTAGCTTTATTCCCAGCTTTCCCTTTCTTGCTTGAACTAGTATCACATGCACTTTGACCTTTGCAGCTTCTTTTATTATGACCAAGCTTTTTGCATTTTGAACATGTCACACTCTTGTCCTTCCTTGATGCCCTACCACCCTTCACCATATCTTCTAATTCAACAGCTGATTTCCTTCTTTTCTTCCTTGGTCTTCCAATGGGGACATGATGATTAAGAGGAAGCAAAGTGGTTGGACATGGAAACTTTTCCCACATTCTTCTTCCATTAATTGGTTCAATCTTGAAAGAATACATTTCCTTCCAAGTTTTTAATCAGTAAGTAGCATGAACCCATTCTTCAGGTACGCCAATATTCTGCTTATATTTTCGCATGTCCCATATAGCAACAAGGGCATGTTTACAGGGTATACCAGTGAGTTCCCATTTTCTACAAGAACATGTGTGCTGAGCCATGTCTACCACACATTGGTCCATCCATGGACCACTCACCTGATATTTTCCATTCCCACAGAACTTACCCACACATTGAGCTGCATCAGATTTGTTTTTTTCAAGCACACTTGTTGCAGTTGGAGTTAATGGTCCAACAGCCTTATCAATTACCTTTTGGACACTAACAATCCTTAACATAAGGTACTCTCTAATGTACTCAAGGCATATGATAATTGGTTGGTCGCGTGCTTTCTTAATTTGATTATTTATGGTCTCACACAAGTTATTCAGAAGCCCATCACAATGAGCCCTCCCTACAATATAAATAAAAAATTATGTAAGAAAGTGAATCATTTGGTAACAATTAACCCAACAAAATAAAACAAACCTGTGAAGTGTGCCCTAGACCAATGTTGAGGTGGAATAGCTTTGACCCATTCGTAGCGGTCATTGTTTACCTTTCTTAACTCTTCCATAGCATGGTTGAATTCTTGTATTGTTGTTGTACTTGCACAGTTCCACAACATGTCTTGGAACACCTTTCCCCTCCACATTTTCTTCATGTTTTCATGAATGTGTCGCAGACAAAACCTGTGTTCTGCACATGGATACAATGTACCAATTGCTTGCAACAAGCCCTGTACAAAAAGTAAACAACATTAGATGTAATGTATACATTGTACAATAAGAACCAAGTCCATTGAAATTACTTACCTTCTGTCTGTCAGATATAAAGGTAAAGTTGGAATTAGCTTGCAAATCAATGTCATCACCCAAGCACCTTAAGAACCAAGTCCATGAGTTTATATTCTCAGCCTCCACGACAGCATATGCCAAAGGATATGTACAGTTATTTCCATCAAGACCCTAAACATAGTGAAGGAGTTAGTAATTTAAATAAAATGGAATAAAATGACACAAGATATGTGTTTACATCTTACCACTGCTGTGAGTATCATTCCAGGATAAGGCCCTTTCATAAAAGTCCCATCCAAACCAAGATAATCTCTTTTACCAGCTAGAAAACCTTTCTTTAATGGCCCTAGACAGATGTAGATCCGTTTGAAAGTTCTAGTCTCAGAAGATGGGTTTGGCTCACTTTCGACCTCTATCTTAACTGTTGTCCCTGGGTTTCGAGTGCGAAGTTCTTGAACATAGTCTCGTAGTGTAGTATATTGCCCTGCATAATCGCCCCTTACTTGATTCAATGCTTCTGTTTTAGCCCTAAATACCTTCATCTTCGAAATATCTACCTGGTATTCACGTTGAGGTTGTTCTTGTAAAGCTCGTGTAGGGACTGTAGGGTTGCTTTCAATCTGTTGCACAATTTTCTTTGCCAAGAACTTGTAGGTACAAGCTTTCACATTTCTTGTTTGTAGACATCTATGCTCTTTTTCGTAGGTCTTGATCTCCCAGTCAACATCTTGTTCCCACTTGCTAGCATAAAGTACCCATGGACAGTTGTTTTCTTCACTTTCTTTATTGCTTTGACTGGGCCCACATGGGTCAAGTTGACCAAGGTCTGGGATAGTGCCTTTACAAATAGCTCTCACTCTGTTTTTATCATTTTTTATGAAGTCTAGTTCCCTCCTTGTCTCCACAGCATGTTGTCTTATTGCATTTTTCAATTCTTCAGATGAGGTGAATTTTTGGTACACATAGAATGGATCACTAACTCTTGCTTCACTGTTTTCCATTGCCCTTCGGATTGCCTTAATTGACTTTCTTCTCTTGTTGCTCCCACCTTCATCAGATGATGACTCATATAAGAATACCTCATTGTTTACAACCTCAATATCATCAATTTCCCTTGTTTCTGTTTCCTTGACATTTGACCCTCCAAGATCACCCACCCACTCTATATCTTCATCAATATTTAACAAAAACTCATTCATGTCTATCTCAGGTTCATCTAGGAGGTTATCTACGTCTACTAAGAACTCACTATCATCACTATCACCACTATCACCACTATCATCAGCATCATCTCTATTGTCACTTTCATGAGTAATCCCTCCAGTTTCTTTATTTAGAAATTCATCAAATTCATCACATATACCTTGTGTTTCACATTGGGCATCAATTTGGGCACTTTCAGTTTCTTTTGTTGGCACAACATTTGGTTTACTTGATCCAATACAATCCCCTGTTTCAGTTTCCTTCCATTCCAAAAAAAGCCTTCTACTACACGAAGGTTGATCAACGATTTCTTCTATCCTAACTTTACTAGGGGTAAATGACATTGTATATGTATGCAACATTGTTTTACCATGTTCAACATAAACTTCAATCAGTTTATGTTGACCCACGTATGTACCCAAATGGTTAATGTCACTGTCACTAGCCAATGCAAACAACCCAAAGTCCAAATCTGAAAAGGGTCTTTTGAAGTGGTAATAAAGCAACTTACCCTCCTCAACACAGCCTAGGGTCTCCATCATCTCATCAATATCGTGCACACAAAACTCATCAATGTCCAATAGATCAACGTATCTTTCTTTGCCCTTGACGTACCTCCTTCCAGGAAACTTCGTAAACTCTCCACCATAGAATAATCTGATGGAGAAGATAGTTGGATGACCAGCTGTAAAAGAGAAAGCTTCAACTTATTAGCTTGAAATTTGTAAGTGATAAATTTAACTTTTGAAATTAAGCGGTTACCGTAATGGTTTTCAACGTCTATTTCTTCCATGTTTGCTCTAATCCTCCAACCCACCATTGTTGCTTCGATGATTCTTGCAAAATTTTGAGGAGTTAGGGTTTCTACTCGATTTTGATGAGTTACAGATTAAGTGATAGAGAGAGAGTGTGTGTGAGAGGGAGGTGATCGGAAAATGATCGGAATGAAGAAACGATTGGCATTGCATTTAGGCGCCATGTATAAAATGACGAAAATACCCCTCGTGTGCAAAGCACGTGAGGGACTTAACGTTTGGAATTGACGACTAACGGACCCAGGGACCAGGCGGGTAATAAAAAGAAAACGTGGGGATGGTCCGAGTGCAAAACAAAACATAGGGACCAAACGCGCAACTTTAGCCAAACCACAGGGACTATTTCAGTAATTTGTTCTTTTTTAAATGTGTTTGGATTAGCTTTTGAAGGGAAAAAATCAAAAATTAAAGTGTTTGGTTTAATTTTTACATGCAAAATGACTAAAAATGACATGTTTACATATTTATTGGGGGTAGATGGAGATATAAAAGTAATTTTAATGTTTAACACTGTTGAAAAGTTGGAAAAGTCATGATTTCGTGACTTTTCAAAAAGACCAAATTTACTCTATTGGAAAAGTCATTTTCAAAAGTCATTCTCATCTTCCCAAACATCTTTTTGACTTTTTCTAAAAGAAAAAGTCAAAAGTCATTTTACAAGTTAAACCAAACACCCTCTAAACCACACCATTAAAATAGATTTATAGGTGCGTTTAGATCAAATATTGCACCATTAAACCAAACGAATTCCATTCTAATATTTTGTTTCCCGAGCAATGTCTTCCCTTCCAAAATTTTCATTCCCTGCTCGATGCCTTTCCCTCCGGTGCGATACTATTTCTTAACCTAATTTCATTTGACAACATCATCGACTCCTGCCACCATGACCACCATCGTTGAGTCCTGTCACCCCCATCCCCATCAATTCTGATTCCGGCCAACCCCACCCTCCATCATTGTCGATTCACGACTTCAGGTCAACAACGTGGTGAATCCGATTTCTCTTTGACGCATCGACCTCCACTATTAGCTTCTTTGTTGTCCATCGCCATCAACATCAACCCACCACCAAGACTCTAAGGT